GCACATCCCTCTGCCCAGGGACTGATCCTGGGCCTTTGACTGACCCTCTCTCTCCTCTCCGTTTTCAGGTTCCCTGGCAGCGCTGACTCAGCCGGCCTCATTGTCTCACAAGGTGGGAGACACCGTCAAGATCACCTGCTTGGGTAGCAGCTACAACGACTATGACTGGTACCAGCAGAAGGTCCCTGGCAGTGCCCCTGTCACTGTGATCTATCAAAACACCAACAGACCCTCAAACATCCCTTCGCGATTCTCCGGATCCAAGTCCGGCTCCACGGCCACATTAACCATCTCTGGGGTCCAAGCCGAGGACGAGGCTGTCTATTACTGTGATAGCTTCGACAGCAGCAGTACTGTTGGTATATTCGGGGCCGGGACCATGTTGACCGTCAAAGGTGAGCCACCAATTTCTTCTCGGACTTTCCTTCCCCAATGTGAAATCGTGACATTTTGTCAATTTTGTTGATTTGGTTTTTTTTTCTCAAAGCTGGGCTGGGGTCTGCTGCCTGTTCAGGGATGAGCACAAAGTGCAGCATTTTGTATACTTTATAGATGTGATCTATAATTTATTATGTGTATTAGCTGTATGTATCTGTAATATGTACTATGTATATACACAAATATGTACAGATAGTGTATATAAAACATATATACAAGTATATATGGAATGTACGTTTATGTATGTGTGTATTACACGCATATATACACACCTATTTTATATATAAAAATTATATCTATTATATATACAAATATAAATACATAGATTTAGATTTAGATTTCCCAGATCTAAATACATTGGAGTTATAAGTGGTAAGCTCTTGGCTGTGGGGGAAGCAGGGAATTTCTGGGTAGTGCCAGCTGGGCAGACAGGGGCTGTGTCGGGCACAGGGCCCTCTCTGACCCCACACCTCTCTCTTCCCTCGCAGGCCAGCCTATGATCGCTCCCACCATCCAGCTCTTCCCGCCGTCCTCCAAAGAGATCTCGGAGGGGAACAGAGCCACCCTGGTGTGTCTGCTGAGTGACTTCTACCCCAACAGAGTGGAAGTGGAATGGTCTGCTGACGGCACTGTCCTCAAAAACGGTGTGGAGACCGGTCAACCCCAGCGGCAGAGCAACAACCGGTACACGACCAGCAGCTACGTGATACTGGAAGCCAGAGATTGGCAAAGTTACAGTTCTGTCTCTTGCAAGGCCAAGCACGAGGCTGGCGATGTGGTAAAGACGGTGAACAGATCCGAGTACCTCTAACCCCACTGGGACCTCCTTGCACCTGCCGGCCCTTTGCTGGCTCGCTCACTCCTCCACACTTCTGGGGACAGCGGCTCCCCCCAGCCGCACATCTCGCTCCCTTGCTCCCTGTCCCCTGCTCCTGTCCCCCCACTCTGAGTGTCAGACAAATAAAAACCGACACTGAACTAGTGCTGGCTCAGCATCCCTGTCTCTGTGTCCTTCCAATGCGCCCGCTCCCCACACATGGGCTGGTGTCAACCCAGTGCCACCAGTAGGGAGGGTGGGATGGGAACACACACGTGTACACACACACATGTCGTGGGGGCTCTGTGCAGCTTCTCCTCAACCCTGGGACCCCAATGAGCCCTCCTGGCTCTGCCAAGACCAAGGGATGAGCAGCCTGAGGCATAGCCTGCCCTAAGCCCCCATGCCGTCAGCAGGCACATGTCCCTGGCTGTGCCATCCTTGTCGCTTGACCTCTTTGGGCACAGGGGTCCTGTCCCCCTGCCCAGGGACATTTGTGCTCCTGGGGCTTTGACAACCACTGTCTTTCACTCTCTCTCCTCTTCCTATCTGAGTTCTGTGGTCCAGGCAGCGCTGACTCAGCCAGCCTCATTGTCTCACAAAGGGGGAGACACCGTCAAGATCACCTGCTCTGGGAGTAGTGGCAGCTATGGCTGGTACCAGCAGAAGATCCCTGGCAGTGGCCCTGTCACTGTGATCTACTGGGATGACCAGAGACCCTCGAACATTCCTTCACGATTCTCCGGCTCCTCAGACACATTAACCATCACTGGGGTCCAAGCCGAGGACGAGGTTGTCTATTTCTGTGGTGGCTACGACAACAGTGCTACTGCTGGCACAGTGTTACATGTCTCCCACTGCTGCCGGGGATCTCCCAGCACTGGTAACAGCTGGGTTCCAGCATTTCTTAAGACTTTATTCAGATTCCTAGAATCATGGAATCATTCAGGTTGGAAAAGACCTCTAAGATCATCAAGCCCAACAATTAACCCAGTACCACCATGTTCATTCTAAACCAATTCTCGAAGTGCCCCATCCACACATTTCCCCAGCCCTTCTTCCCTCCTGCTTTTTGGCAGGCAGGTGGCATCAGGGTCTGACCCCACCTGAGGTGCCAACAGAAACCTTGTGCACCAAAACAATTTAATTGGCATTAATGAGGCTTTATCCTGACTTTATCCTCCTCCCCAGCCAGACAAGGGAGAGTTTGTCATGGCACAGCCTCATGTGTATGGCAAAACCCCCTTCCCATCACCCTTCGCAGGGGACTGGGCTGATGGAGGCAGTCACAGTGTCCCTTTCCATGTGTGGGGTGACAGGTTCAGGGTTTTACCAGGAATTTCCATCACTACAGAGCAAACCAGCGCTCAGGTCTTATGACAGACCCCAGGCTCCAAGGAAGGAGCCAGCAGCAGGATGCTCAGCCTGCATCAGAGCCAGGGAAAGGAAGGAAGGGTGGATGATGGAGGGATCTGTTCCACCTTGTTTCAAGGTAAGTTTCTTTAAGATAGTTTCCTGAGCAGGCAGAGCTCACAGGGGCAGACAGCTGGCAGCCTTGCTCCTGAGGGCTGATGGGCTGTGGCAGCAGGTCCTGGAGGTGAGGGTGGCCATCCACATCCAACCATCCCAACTTGCTGCTGGGGAATGTGGACCCAGAGATGGCAGGAGCTCCTCCACCCTGCTGCTCAACCCCTTCCCACTCTCAAACTGGATTATTCCCTAGCAACCCCTTGATTGCAACATCTCATCCCCAGCCTTGTGGTGCTGCCAGGGCTTTCACCCAGGAGAGCAATTGCCTGGGGTTCTGTCAGCCAGAAATGCCCCACGGACCAAGACCTGCCAGGAAGGACACCCTCTTCTTTTCCACTGGAAGGTTCAAGCCTCAGTAATTATGATCCCAGCAGTTGGCAAATCAGACCCTTAGCAGTGGATGAGGCTGGAGTGACCAGAAGGCAGCACAGGAGCCTCCATCTGAGCCGTGCTGCCCTGAGAAATGCCACAATTTTTGAGGCGGGGGGACTCTGAAAGGGAGAAGGTGTCTGGGCAATGCATTCCATAGGGTTTGAAATATATCTTGACATTCCATAGGTAAAGCCCATTCCTTGATCACAGGACATGGGCCCCAGTTTTTTTGTGGGCTCAGTTTGGGGCAGGTCTTTCTGGGCCATGAGCCAGGCTCTCGCTTTGGCTCAGGTCTGGGCAGGCAGAGCACAGGCACGTCTCTGATTCCGGGGGCAGGAAACCTCACTAATTATTGATTAAAAGATTTTGCTAAATCTTTTCCGTAAGCAACAACTGGCAAGGAAAAACCTGATGAATTATAGATCAGTGGCCCTGGCCCCCCTGGGCTCCCATCCTCCCCCGCTGCCCACAGCTTGGCAGATTCACAGACAAAGTTTTACCCATAACAAGCCTTCAACAGGGCTGGAGAGCCTCTGCTGGGAATCAAAGGTGGATGTGGGTCCTGATCCATCTTCTGGAAGGGAGGGAAGCAATGCCTGGGAAGAAGAATCTGGCCCCGCTCTCACAGCCATCCTCATTGGGGTTTTCTTGTCAGCAAATGTGCTGAGCAGAACCAAAACCTCTCTCCTCTCCCCAGCTGCAGCTCCTGCTCTCACTCTGCCGGCTCCTACACTGAAATTTCAACAGTCATTTATTTTCTTGTTTTCCCAGCTCGCCAGTAATTTTAAAATGAGGGGAATCTAATTTAGTAAATGAGATGTTTCAGGAAGGCTTTAATTAGCTGCAGAGAGAGGCAATGGGTCCTGCACTTGTTGAGAGCTGTGCTCCCAGGCTGAGGCTCCCTGGTGAGGGCTTAGCAAGGATTTCATGGGGGTGTTTAATAAACCCTGGAGGTTTAAACACCTTGGACTTGGAGGTGTCGCACAGCCAAGACCAGAGGCAGGGATGCAGAGATGAAGGCAAAAGAGTGTGAGACCACAGGAACTCTTGCAGCCCTCACTCCAAACCACTGCCCCCAGCCTTGAGGGCAAAGCTCTGCTCTGGTCCCCAAATGGTCCCTCTCCATGGGATGATCCCTGTCCAGCTTTGTTGCCCAGAAACCAAGTCTGGTGTGCTTTTTTCATTGCACATCGCTGGGTGATTTCCCCAGGCCAGGCAAACCCCATTATCTGGTGCCAGGGGGAAGTGGTGTCTCTGTGAAGACGTGGCAGGATCAGAGTGAGTACATCTGGAGCTGATGAAACACCTAGTTTGGAGAGACCTGGGCGACGTGGCACAGCCAGAGGGGACAGGTTCCTGCCCCCCTGCAGCTGCGGCCCCACAAACAGCCAAGTTCCTGGAGGCAGCAGGGCAGAAACTCAAAAGCAAGAGCAGGGGCCAAGAATAGCTATAGCCCAGCCAAGAATAGCTACTGGGGGGAGCAGGACAGAGCCAAACCTGCTGGGGTGGCTGTGGGAGGACAGCACAGTCCCCTCACTTTGGTCCTGCAGTTGTGCCAAGCTCCACGGCCTCTGTCCTGCCTGAGCTGGGGGTGCAACCCCCAAGTACCTGAAAGGGTAGCTGGTGGTTCCTGCACCCCATCCTGACATTTCCCCCGCTCACGTAGCTGCCTTCTCTGAAAGACTCAGCGAAAAGCTGTTCAGAGCCCAGGCTGTGCCACGCCAGCACTGCCCCCCTGCCATTTCCCCCCAAAGCCAGCCCCAGCATGCAGCTGTGTGGCTGTGGGGCATCCCCTGGCTAAATTTACCCCTCGCCCACTGCAATCCCCAATCAGAAATTTGAAAGGGTGCTCAAAAAAGGGAAGTAAAACTGTCTCCAGTGGGTGCTGACGTGTGAAGACAAGCAAGCACTACGCCCTGAGTTGGCTCAGCCTAAGATGGTGACCAGCTCTTGCCTCTGCCTTGCCAGGCTGTCACTTTGCAAAGCCATCACCTTGTGGGGCCATCAGTCTCTGAGGTGGAGGAGAGGTCTTGGGTTGGCCTGATGCTGCCCAAAATGGGCAGGGTGGGTGGTGGTGGTGGTGAACCAGTCGGATGGTGGATCCACTGGGGGCCACTGCCAAGGCTATTGAGACTCTGCCATGGCAGGGTGTGTGTCCCCAGCCTGGATGACCCATCCTGTACCCTGAAGGGTCTCTGGCAGAACCCCCAGTGGGGTCTTGCATGACAGGGTGGTCCCTGCCCCAGTGTGGGATGGCCCAGCTGCTGCACATGCTCACACATATATGTGCACACACACACACACACACACACACACTCTCCAGTGATCCCAGTGCATCCAGACCCACCAGGTTGGGCACCACTGACCCCTCACCTGCGGGGTTTGGGGCCAGGGGAGACACTGAGACACTGCTCAGATCGTACCCTTGTCACCCTGGACCACCACCACACGGTGACCAGCCTGAGGCCTCCTACTGCTACCCTGCTCCCAGGTCACCCTGAATCCTCTTTCATTAACTGAATTAAACTAATTAGTCCCTGCCTGCTGCCAGGCAGCCCTTTCACTGGGCTCATCCCTCAGTCCAACCTTCTGAAGGGTACAGGGGCAGCCTGCGGGCTCGCAAAATATGGGGCACATTTCCTCAAGTCTGAGAAACATAATACAGGTTACAAATGAATAAAACATAGATTATACATTAAATAAAATACAATAGATAAATGACAAAATACTAGTTATGAAAAAATACTATCAAACACCTCTGGGCAACCCCAGGTCAAACATCCAGCTGGAGACAGCCAGAGAGCCCAGGGCCAAGTTTTATCACCCTACAATTGAAAGAGAATTAAAAGAAATAAATAAATGTTTGAGGCTGGTGTGGTCGAAAACACGACCTGAGCATTCAAGCCCATTTGTGAAAACAAGAGCAACCATTTGCATAGCTGTGTCAAAACAGCAACTGACACCACATGCAGCTGGCAGGAAGACACCTTGCTGGGGGTTATTTAACTGTGTATGAAACCCTGCCACATCCCGGGGTAGAGCCCAGTAAACAGCCCCAAAGATAAATGCCCGGGCTTGTAAACAGGTTGTAA